TGTGCATTTTAATGGCCACTGTGGGGTAGTGAAACCATCGAAGGGCGTTAGAACGACGTTTTCGCCCGTGTCCAATCAGTATCTGACCGATATCAAGGTCACCACCCGCGCGGAGAGGGTCTCGTGGAACCCATGAGGGCGGCCAAAAGCCAAGTCTGCCAAATTGCTTTTGTAGTTTGATGGAGTAGCTTAGAAGTTGCTGCTCTGTTTATAGTGTATTGTGAATTTGTCGACCTACTAAGCCAGATTTTCCCGAAGGCCTCGCTTTTGATCAACATGTCTGTAACATATCAGGGAGTTGGAAACGTTGTCGTCAACTCCATTTCGCGCTGAAAGCATTATAAGTAGACATAAAAAGCCAAAAACATGGCTTTTTTGCATTGTTCTCGACCCGGTGAAGCTAGATTTTACTTTCATGTTGCAACGGGAAGGCAGAGAAGGATGAGGGGAGGGCTGCGCTTCGTGGAGATTAGGGCAAAGGTCGTATTCATTTAATCTTGTAAATCTGAAGAAGTGTTGACAAAACTGAAAAAAACGAACGAAGGAAAAAAGAACAGCCGGAACCAGCGTAAATACACGTGCTTGTTTCTTCGTTTCGACAGGTGCTTTTCACGGGATGGTGTATCCCGCATCCCTACTTCCTTTCCCTCCTCTAAAGCCTTCTTCTGCTCCTTTTCACTCTTCATTCGCCCTTTCCCCTTCTTCGTCTCCACCATCTTTACCATCTTCCTCACATTTCACTCCTTGACTCCACCCTCTGTATGACAACGCTTCCTAGCCTGCGCTCATGCTGCTCTTCCCTTCCTACCTCCCTTCTCTCTCTCTTCCCTTTTCATCATCCAAAAAAAGGCTGAGATTGTGAGGGCTTCGTTGTATGTCATGATGGGAAAGACGAGCGACAACCTGGGCGCTCCGAGCTATCCTTAAGGTAGCTTCAAGGAAGGACCTATAAGCGGGAAGGAGGAGGCGAAGGTAATACACAGGAGTGAGCAAGAGAGAAAGGAAGATGGCAGGGAAAGGGACAGAAAAGGGGCACAAGACTGGATCGGGAAAGACGCACAGACAAGGACAGGACGGGGAGGGAGGTGAACGAGAGAGGGAGGGAGGGGAGGTGGGGGAAAGG